TTGAGGAATTTGCCACAGCTGTGGTGCAAACTGAAGCCAAGAGATGTTTGTCATCATGTGATCACTTTTTTTTAATTCACAGCTTAAACCATCGGTGAGCGCCATGGCCTGAAAAAACACCATTTCAACAGACATCTAGGATTGATGTAAACATCAAATGAAACAGACATTTCCGACTGGCAGCACCTGAGACACATGTCCACGTACTTGAGCAAAAATTATTGTGCAGCAAAAAATACCATCATAAACATGTAACCTACTTTTAGTTACACCCCATCTACATGTACTTCAAAAAAAGATTGTGGCCCCAAGATGGGGGTAAAACTATTTTTACAATAACTATCTAATTTCTCGCACACTGATTGGCTCATTTTTATCATCAATAAGAGTACAGATAGATAAAATTTTAATTTATGCAAACTTTCAACAGTTCAACTTTCAGCTATCGAACTGTCAACTTTTTAACCAACGGGATTTTGTTGACTTTTTTAAGTAGCCAATCACAAAACGATAAAAGCTATTGACAATGTTCATGTCATTTTCAATAAAATTCACTTATCTTTGTTTATGGCAAATTTACAGTACCCTTTCCCTTATTTATTCCCAGCATTTGACCATTTTGGGGTCTTGTTATTGCAAAAAGCAAATTGACGTTGGTTTTTTATGCACCTGTCCTCTTATTGATGATAAATTGCATCATAACATTGTCAAAGTTTGCTGCAGAACCACTCGTCTGTGGCTCGTGGTTCCAAAGCCACTGTGTCGACTGACAATGTTATGATGCAATTTATCATCAATAAGAGGACAGACACATAAAAAACTGATGCCAATTTGATAATTTGCAATTATTACAAGCCAAGCAGGAGCCTGTTCAAAGTGAACCAACGATGAAGCAAGAGATAGGTAGAGATAAAAAAACCAAAGGATGGCTTTCATAAGAATCTGGCCTGTGATAGCAATTGACCCTTTCAGTCCCAAGTTCAAAATTTTAATTCTCCTCATCAGCAGCCATACAGATCTTTTCAAGTCAGTTCTGAGAATTTAGCAGTACGTCTGGACAATATCACTTAGCTCATGTAAGTGTATTGTGATGAGAAATAAGATATTTTATCAACAACTTACATCATTGGCTGACTTTTCAAAGTCCTGGCTAATGACTTCTTGGATGTTCGAAAGTTCTCCAGAAACATCAGGAAGATTTGTGAAGTCGGCTTGTGTGTCCAAGCCATCTGTGTTTATCTGATCGCAGAAAGTTAGATTTATACTACTGCAGTTGTTCTGAATGTTTGTTAGGTTGTCCTTTGTATCATTCAGTCCCCTTTGAAGATCTACAGTTAAAGTTGTTAGGTTGTGGCTGTTGACTGAGATAACTGTCAGTTGATCTCTCATGGTTTGAGTTTCTATAGAAATGAACAAAACAAAACTAAATAAGGATTTTAGTCAGTTAATAACTTTTATTTTAAAGCATACTTTATGACAAATGTACATGATAATGATACACAGCAAGACACAGTAAACCACTGTAATTAGATGCAAAGGACTTACAAATAAAATTTTTGCAAAACAACTTCATGTGAGTAGCTGAAAACCCTCCTTCCCTAATAAACGTTGGTACCGTTAGTACTCTTTTTTTTTTTCAGAAACAAACTCGAGTGAAAAAGGGGTAGCTCTTCTCACAACAACAAAAGGTTAATACACCACTGTATCAAATAATAATCTTTTAATTTCTTACCTATCTACCTTGTGATAGACAAGGTACATATTTAAGTGCAACTAACCCTCCTCCCCCAATTTTTTCTGCTGATCACCACTGCGAAAAAAATCATCACTGTAGCTATTTTCGTTAATTTTCTGCAAATTTTCAACGTTTGTAAAATTGGCCTTTTCTGCAACCACGACCAAGCAAAGAATGGGGTGAGTTGGCCGGTGACATCACCAAAGGACTAACAATGTTTTCCTTCTGAGAAGAATATCAGCAAACACATGATAACATGATTCAAAATCAATGGAGAATGCACGGTAGATGTGTTGTTGGAGGGAGTAGCAGTACAGCAAGCTTAGGAGAGAGCTATCCTCTTCCTTCAATACCCCTATCTTGCTGGCACTCATCCAGAAGCAAGAAAAAGACAAAAGAAGTGTGCTGACCTGTGCATACATATAGTTGGACCGAAAGGAGGAGAGATCAAGCAATTCCTTGATCTTGGGTTTGCTGCTACTGTAAAAACCTAGAGATTTTCATGGCCTGTATATTCTGCAGATAGCTTCTTGTGCAAAGCTCGACATTGTTAAGGTAGATAAGACACGAAATTGGGATAAGCTGGGAGTCATCTGACTGTTCTGTTGACACAAGCCCGAGTCTCAAACAAAAATAATGGAAACTAGGTGAGATAATTATATGGCAAATTAATTGCATCGCATTTTTAGTCCTCGAAATAGAGAGTTTTCTAAAGAAATAGTCAACAATACCTAAGTCCTACAATGAGGCGATTAAGATTAGTGAGGCTTGGAACTGCTGAACCAGCTATGTATTTTTGGATTTTATATACAACACATGCAAGCTACACACATGAGGTCAACAATGCCGCTGAGCCCTTCTGCATACACAATAATTGTTTTGTTCTTCGGGCAACGAAATATATCTATCTCTGTTACAAACATAAAACCAATCAAGCATTGATAAGTATGTAAGGAAAGTACAACAAACCATTTAGATTTGGCTTTACGGACAGAGATTATAGCACTGAAAGCAGAATGTGCTTGTTTTCGACTGAAACGCAACACTCAGGTTATTCCATATGTAAAAAAAGAACTTTGAAAACAAAAGAACAGTGAAGGAGAAATGTATTGTACTATAACACTTCAACTCTTCATCCATGGTTTTAACCTTTATAAGCCAAATGGGCTGGCAAATTGTCAATCGTGACTTGCACTGTGGCGACCCACACTTCAAAATTGAAAAAAATATATATACATCGTAGCCGTCCTAATCGTAGCTAGACTCCAAATTGTATCGCTAGATGATACAGTTCTTTCATAAGTCTTGTCCAGTTTTGATAAAATGTGAAGCACAAATNGAAAAAAAACATATATACATCGTAGCCGTCCAAATCGTAGCTAAACTCCAAATTGTATTGCTAGATGATACAGTTCTTTCATAAGTCTTGTCCAGTTTTGATAAAATGTGAAGCACAAATACAAGTACTCCAAATATGTTTTCACAATGCTCGAAACCTAGTCATACTTCTCGAGTGTTATCAGTAATGTCCTTTGATGATGTAACTACATGTAGAAGCCCCACCTAAATCCCACTATATCCTGGGCCTGTTACTTTTTATTGACTTTGAAAAGGAATTTGATTCTCTTGAATGGTCCTTCATACATGACACATTAAGATCCTATGGTTTTGGTGCTTTGCTAATTAACTGGTTGAAAACCCTGTATAGTCATACTGAAACCTGTATTCTGAATAATGGATGGGCAAGTAATTTTTTTGAGATTCAAAGAGGTGTTAGGCAAGGCTGCCCACTCTCGGCTTATTTATTTATCCTATCAGCAGAGGTGCTGGCTGCGGCAATTAGGAAAAATACTAATATAAAGGGAATATCTGTAAATAATGTGGAAATTAAGTTAAGTCAGTATGCCAATGACACAACACTTATATTAAATGGGCCACGTGAATCTCTCCTTTCATCCCTTGCAATGCTTGACGATTTCAGCAAAGTCTCTGGCCTCAGACTCAA